GGTGCAACATAACTTTACCTGTCACGTTAACGGTTTCAGCATCTGCCACTGACGTCAAAGGTGAATCAGTAGTCGGGAAAGGTTTGTGTGAAGAACCTGCTTATTTTAAGTCTGTGCTACGCCTGCTATTGTTTAAGCAATGGGATTAGAATACTTATGAATGAATGAATTTAACTGATCGAGATGCGATATACTCCCAGTGCAGCATTCCTACGACAGTCAAATGGAAAACGGCCAAGAATGACGTAAAAGGGAGGCTTTAACCGTTTTGACATCAGTCCCTCTTACAATTCCATGATTTGGTGCCATTTGCTGTACTGCTTGTTTTTGTGGGGTTAATTATGCAGCTGGTCATCAGCAACGAATGCCATTGTGTTCTTGCAGATCTATGTCTAGTGCATGGCATGCAATCCGAGGTTTCCTCCTTATAAAGACTTACATATTTCTACCTCATGGGGAAAATTGACGAGCTACTCGATGGGGGGGGGGGCTAAAAGTCAGGACCTCTCGACTGAGTCCAGTGCTGAGTTGACTAGGCAATCCTGGCCAAGAGGCAGGTCGAGCATAAGCTACCGGACGGTTCTGATACATGTATCATCGAGGGTTGTTGCGTCTTCCCATTCGGTCAATGTTGAACGATTGTGACCATTTAAAAAATTTCCTCATGTTGCTGTCTCATGAATCTAAAAGAAATATGGGATTGTAAAAATCAGAGAACAGTTGGATGAATGAATGGATGAAATTAGTATCTCATAAACAGGGGATTGTACCAATTAAGAAAAATCTGCGTATTTTAGACATGCAACGCGTGCTGATGTCATGCCATATGGTCTGGTAGACTTCATCCGTATGAAAGGTTAGCTTGCATCAAATTTTCTGCCCCTGTGTAGGGCAGAGGACGGACAACAGTAGTTTAAAACCTTTGGCAACAGAACATCAGAGAATATGTACTGTAAGTACTCATCGACCATAACTCGCTATGCCGAACAAAGGTAATACCAAGCATATGCTGCACCCAGCCGTGGCGTACAATGCATGAATCTTAGCGAGTTCCATCTACACGGAACTAACAGTTCTGCTTTCCTTATACTTAAGGAATTGCCTAACTTTTCAGCAATAAAGAGAGCTCCTTCAAGTGCATCGTCCCTGTGCTTCACAGCGCTGTTGTGAAACCGTAGCACTTGCAAGAAAAGAGTCTGAGTTCGTTACGAATTTGTGGTAAATTGATTTTGTACAATGTGCTACGGTTTTGGAGTGAATTAAAGTGCTGAGGAAAACACATTATCGATATCGATGACTTTCTTTAAGCGCAGGGGACGCGTTTGTAACTTCATTCAAAGTTTTGAGGCACAACTCGTACGGTACGGTTTATTGATTGATAAAAAGAACGTGTGGCAATGGCTGAACGACAGCCATCTGGGGAATCGACGAGGAAGCGGCGTGCGTACATTCATAGACGAGAAAAGGGTCGGTTTCGATCGGTTTATGAGGTCGGCTACCGGAGCAACGCAGGTGGTCGACGTTAGCCTCTGTCGGTGAAAGTCCCGAGGTGTCCGTCGGTCGTTCAGAGAGCAAATAGACGTGAGTGCGGCAGACCGGGTCTGTGCCCCCCCCCACCACCTCCGGCTATGATTGACACTCGTAGACTGGCAACGATCTCCGCAGGCGGCGCCGACCGCATGCATCGCTGCATGAGCATCGAAGTCGTCATCTTCTCGACGTCGTCATCGCCCGTCAGACATCTCGCCTATGACGGCGACGACGACGCGACAGAAGCGGGCGTTCCCTTAGTCATTGGCGAATTTCAGACGATAATCAGTCAGGTTTCCGGCGGCTACCTTGCCTCCTTAAATATCATGGACGACCGCAGCTTACTGTCAGCAAGTGACGAGCCGCAGCCGTGCTGCATCCGGGCTTCCGTCTGTCTCTCTTCACTCATCTTCGTTGGTCGATGGTGATGTCGCACCGTATGACCT